CCAAAAGTGTCATGTTGATCTTGATAGTATCCTGTTTTAAATTAGGGTTTGGTTGAGTGGGCGCGTTCCTTGGGCCTGACGACATAAACACTGCTGGAACAGCCAGAGCACCATGGGATTGTGCGGGAGGGGCCACTGCTTTAGCTGGTGTAATACTCGATTGGGCCGTTCTGTTGACAGATTGGGCCAGGTTCTGCACCTGCTGAGATGTTCTTTGAAGAGCAGCTGAAGCCTCCTTAAACTTTAAATACAATACAGACAACAGTACAGCATTAAGGTGTGGTCACATTAGTGAAATTGTGGCAAAAAGGTCCATTGTAAATGACATGGTCTTTTGGCAATTATGAAGCAAGCTCACACAGAAACCAATTTCAAACCAAGTAGCTTTCTGTTAGTCAACATGGCAAATTTGACCTTGATGTAAAATCTGTGTGGGGAAATCTTTCACTGTCATGGGAAATTCCTGGACTTCTATTGAAATGACTGGATTCGTCCACAAAAAATTGCTAAACAAGGTTAAACTTCACTGCATCTTTAGAGTGGTTTGTCAAGTGATACAAATGACACACTTCTCTTACCGCTGAGTCCTTGGCTGGAGTGACAACTTTCTTGGGAGGAACCACTGTGAAGAAAGTCGCGCTGTTACTGTACATATTTTACATCAATAAAATGAAATGACTAAATAAATAAAATATAGCATCTAATATACCACATCCCACAGCAATGACATCGTCGTCATCATCATCATCAATCTCAATGACCTCAGAAGGGTTTGCTCCGCCTCCTCCCTCATCCTCCGAGCTGCTCTCACGATACACTAGACCCATATTACTGTAAACTTCCTTCACCAGAGCTTCACACTGAACCACAGACCTTTGAAAAGACAGATTTATGTACTTCTTCCTCTGGAATTAAGAAATATTACATTTTTATCTCATAAAATGCTGGCTTTTGGATAATCAATCACGTTGTCACAACCTGAAGTAGTGGCTTGTTCACATCAATGTTCTACTAATTGTAGTCATAAGTACTTTAAAGAATACAGCTATTGACGGAGTAGAATCTTACACTCGCTGAACTTGTGTTGTATTTTTTTTGGCAGGGGCTATTTGCTAAGTGAAAATAGCAATGTGTTCCATTCACACAAAGTGAAAATAGCAGTATTTTTAGCGATATGCTATTTACACAGTGCAAATAGCCATAGATTCTATTTACACCACGTTAAAATAGCAGGATTATACTTATTGCAAATAGTGGTAATTCCTCAGTATTGTAGTACGTTATAAAAGAGAACGCAGTAATAACGTATTGAACTTAAATTATAATTTTAATTCAAATTATTAAATGGATGCCACCTTTTTAGGACAATAAAGCCCTCCCTACACCTACCCTAACCTTACCCCATACTTTATTTTCAACTTTCAGATTATTTCCTCAATTTTTATTGAAAAAAATTGCCATTCCCATGTGATATGAGCTTTGAAAACGGAGAAAAAAAACATTTCACGAAAGGCGGATTCGAACCCAGGTCGACTTGTCTCAAAAAGCACACACTTAACCATCTACACCACTGAAACTGGTGCTAAACATCCGTCTTTTGTAGTGTTGATTATCCCAATCACACGTTGGTGGGCGGAGTTACTGTAAATAGTTTCTGCCAATGCAACAAGGCGGGCTATTAGCACTTAGTGTAAATATACACTCCGATTTTGTTTAGCATATCAGTTGCAGAAGTTGTTTATCATATGATATGAAGAATATGTATATTGCATTAAGGGTTGAATATTTCTCAAGAAACAGTTTGGCAGGTTTGACTGAAATCTCTTCACCTTTAGCTGTGATGATCTAAATGCATCATCTCTCACACTTTAAACTTACTCTGAAGCATTAGAGCAAAGAGCATCCATATTAGTAACCTCCTTTTCCCTCTGCTCAACCCATTCCTGCAGCTGCTCCAGCTGAGCTTTCCTCTGCTGCACGGCTTCGCTGCTGTCCACCTGCTCCTCGATCCACTTGCGCAGCTCGTCCAAAGACACTCCTAACTCCTCCTCCAACTCTGGATCCAACTCCATCTCCATCCCTGAGGCCAAACTGGCATCCACCTCTATAACTTTGAAAGAAAGGGAAGACAGTGTTAACATGTCACAGCAGGAATCACAAAACAATGTTTGAAAAGATGTATTCTGTAGTTCAACTGGTAGACAGCTACATTTCCCCATCAACTGTGGATCAGTCCTGTATATTGGTGGGTTTCCTTGCGCAAACTGCTCTATGCAGGACCTTCCACAACATTTTGACGATAAAGTCCTGTAACGGTCAGAAATTTAACTTGGCTATTCCAAAAAAATTACTTCTTTGCCACAGGATCTACTTTCAGTTGAGAGTTAAAGGGTAAGTTTGCTATTTTCAGCCAGCTTTGTATTATTACAATGTCGGTAGTAACACATTTTGTATTTTTTCCCCCGTTTCCTGCACCAAGATGTTAGGAAAAGTCCATCTGGATGACATATAATTAATCATCTGACAGAGTTTTGACAACTCCAGGGATTTTTTTGAAAACTACAGAATGTACTTCTACATTTGTTTCACACCTAGTGCATTATGGGTTTCCTACTTTTTTGCTCCAGACCTATTTTTTTTTGTTATCTCTATTCGAGCAGCACCGATTTTTTTTCAATTGCACAAACAACCAACTATTTATTTATTACAAAATTTAAATGAAGATACCTTTAAAGAAAAATTACAGACCATTCTATAGTTAACAAACTTCCTAGGGTGACTGGTCAAATCAAGACATTGTAAGGTTGCAATGCCACAAAATAGAAAAAAACAAGACTGTATTATGTCTGCTGACACAAAGTATACAGTTGTAGTTAGTGCAAATGCATTTATACTACTTCTGAGCAGCATTAAACAATTTAATTAAATGCTAGTTCAGAAGCTTTTCTGACTGAGCCACCTTTGCAGTGCAAGTTTGGAACCAGTCTCATATTATCTATATGATTGAAAGTGCAATATAGAACTCCAGCAACATCAAATACAATGTTGCAAATATACATCAAGGGCAAAGTAACATTTCTGTAAACATTTAAATGACTTCGTTTGAGATATGTAAACAACCTGTCTTCTGATCATGTAGATGGCTGTAAATGGCACGTTAACTAACATTCAGCTGATTAGGAGAAAAGCTGTATTCATATTAATAACACATGAAAATGGTCGCTATGTGTAACAACACTTCATCAACCACAATTCCTGCAAGTCAAGACCCCTAAACGGCGCGCAACACACGGATGAGAGGGCTAAACAAAACATTGTGTCCATTTCTGTTCGAAAACCGTAAATATACACGCCACGCTTTAGCCGTCTTAAAAAGTTAATATATGAACATATAAACAAAAGATCTGTAAAATACAGAATCGAGTGAGCTTTATTCAATTGTGTTGATGCTAACTGGGCTAGCTTACCCTTCCTAGCGTGTGTATCCCTCCAGCTCTTTTGCGGATTTACTCTTTTCGCCGTGCATTAACTTAAATGAACAGAAAACCAACAATAGGATGTTTAAAGCTTTTTTTCTATTCCAGAGGCATTTTAGTATAATTTTATTTGAACATACATTTTCCGGTCATCGCACACCGCGCAATGAGCCTCAATGAACGCGTTTGGCCGATGACGATTCTTCGAGCTGACCAATCGGCTTTTGCGTGACGAGTGAGTGGCAGTTGAAGTGAGCAATTGGATGCAAGGCAAAAAACTTGAGCACGCCCCCACGATGCCCTGCCTGCCCTGCAGGACTACACTGCACAGCACAAAGTGAATCAAACACAATTTAGCTCCATAGAAGCAATCATTACAACTAAAGTATCTATGAAAACAATTTATTGAAATACTGACCATACTAACCATTAACTGACAGCTTAGTATTAATGAATACTTTTTTTCAGATAAAAAGAGGTGTTAGGCCCATAGCCACAACCAATGCAACTGTACACATATTATTACTTAAACAAGGATTTCATTGTTGACTTTTTATGATGAATCCTTTTGTTATATAAAGGTCACATTAAAACTATCCTGCATGTTTTTTTTAAATAATTTATGTTAAAGGTGCATTTCGGTATTTTTCTCACATTAAAATATTTTACACATAAACAAATTAATAATGTGTGGAAAAATGTGCGCTTTCACAGATTTCACATGAGATTAATATAGACTCTATTTACTGGCCTAACATAATTGTTTATTCGTTAACTGCAGCATCTTGTGATCTATATATAGAGTGGTTTACTTTGCTTAGTTAAAAATGCAACATTCCATGTAACAAAGAAAATGATCTCAGTGAAAACAAAGGTAGCCTACACGTGGAAGGAGAGGAAGTTAGGAAAAATATTGGTACATAATAACATGAATAGTAATGCAAATGTAGTAGCAATGGTTGACTTTTGGACTACATGAATGTTTGAACGGCGCCTCTACCAATTATCGACCACAGTCAGTGACGAGAAGTTCTATTCATGTATGCGAATCGGTTCTTTCGAACAGTTCGTTTCAGTGAACTCGGTTCTTTTACGTCGTCAGGTAGGGGTTTTAACACATTGTATAACTGTTATGCATACATTACAACCATCTGAAAAATACTACTGTCTAATGTTGTTATGACAAGAAAAATGAACGCTGTTTTAAAGATTTATATATTTCGTCAATCTGTAATCCGTTGATAGAGTTAACCCTTGGAACAGGACATTGTGAAGCGGTTCAACCAAATCATTCAAAAGATCCAACTCGATGGATCGATTACTGTAGCTGAACAACGTGGTGTTGCTCCGTCTCAAACACACACTCACAGTCATACATTTGCAGTATAACGTTGTATAAATCAGCATAGACACTTCCGTAGTGAAAGGGTTCTCAAATTCAACAAGTTGCTCGTGTGTGGTTATCATGAGCATAAACTCATTTTCGCCGCTGTCGCATGCAACAAGTAACGTCACGCTTTGATAAATAGCTGCGTCATTGTTTCATGACAGCGGCCGTTTGCGAAGCAACTGAACACAAGCAAATAAAACAGAAATCAACGGCTCTCTTTTCGCTAATTCACTTCTCGACATTTGCATGTGTACGACTTGTTTTTCTTCAGACAGAGGTGACGCAAATACTGTGCGCCGTCCTGGGTCAGTCCAGGAGTAGACGAGAATATTTGGTCAGGTAAAAAAAGTTTTACGCTTGGACACATAAAGCAACAATACACACATTTATCGCTTTACTGTCTCTATAAATATATACGCGAACTCATACTAGCCATCATCATCGTATGAACTTCTTGTGTGTTGTATTATCGACGTCAGACGTTGCAGACTGCGCATTCAGCTAATCTACTGTAGCTGTTGGGCTAGACACTTTAGCGAGACTATTATATTTGACAGATACGATTCATAATCGCGACCTGCAGACTGACAGTTATTGCAGAACAACATTCTCTGTGAAAATAGGTAACGTTAGTCGCGCAAAAGACACCTGAAATTTTTTTGGTTTAGCTAGCATATGAAATGACTACAGTAAAGTTATATTTGCAGATCAAGTTATAAACGCGTGCACTACGCGTTATTCCATACATTCACATATCAAATTCCAGCTGGGCAAAGCTACTGCATAAATGTAAAATGTAATATTCAGAAGATCTAATGTTATTGATAGCCTACTTCCTGTCTAACCCCTGACGTTTATTTCCTGCTATTTAATGTAGCTATTAACTATAACTTAGCTATATACACACACACACACACACACCTTTTTATATTTATTGTGTTTGACAAGCAAATGATGTGCCTTTTCTAGTGTTTTCCAAACGTTGAATACATCTGAACACATTTTCTACATCATTTATTTTCTACATTATGAACAGTTGATCACATCTGTGCTTTTTGTGATGTCTTGTAATGCAGGTATTTGTCATCCACATGGGAATGGGGGACATGAAGACACCAGATTTTGATGACCTGCTGGCAGCGTTTGACATTCCAGACATCGATGCCAAAGAAGCAATTCAGTCTGACACTGATGGCAATCATAATGAGCGCAGTGGTGTTGTTGGAAAGGAGAGAAGTGGAAGTCCATGCCTAAGACCTCCAGAAAGCCCTGAGCCTGTTGCTTTAGTTCCACATAATGACCCCTCCATGGTCAGTGTGATTGTAAAAAACAGTGTACATTCTGATGACAAAACTGAAGGGAATGTAACTGAAGGGGTCATTTCTGGTGCTGATTCCTCACATGAGTCTCCCCAGAAAGGTCCCAGCGAATATGGCCTGGTGCCACCAGATCCGTTCTTCTATAATGGACTCAAAACTGTCTCTGATGGGGCTACAGAACCCTCTCCACCACCAACTCTAACCCGGATGCAGCCCAATGGGCAACTTTGGTCTCTCTCTGCTCCTAGTGTTTCTAGTGATGACAACCAGGATGGCACTTCTTCTAAACACCCTTCTAGCGCTTTCTCCCCACCTCGGTCTTTACCCCTGACTGATCCTCCTGTCTTATCTTCACATTTAATTAATTCAGACTTTCCTCCAAGAGTTGATTGTGAGGAAGCACCACCATTAAATGGCACTTTGAGGGCAGGAGTCCGTCGACGCTTATCTGAAGATGAAGAATCTGAACCAGACCTCGGTAGCCCTGCGCTTGTCATACAAGAAAGCCCGGATTCCCAGCGGTGCTCTGCTCCCAAGGTACCACGCATGCAGCGGTCTCCTTCAAGTGTGTTTCAACCACCCTCTCCCTCATCCCCTTCCTTACCAGTTAGTAACACTCAAATCGAAGAGCCATCTGTCCAGATTCCAACACTTCTACAAAGCGGCGTTAACCCAACATCTTTGACCTCCACAAACGATCTGCCAGTTGAAGAAAAAGACGTGGAGCACATAATCGAGGAGAGAGATTCTCCTGAAAGCCCTGAGCCAGAAATCCCTCAACCTCAGCCATCAAATCAACAAGAAGCCAATGAGCCAGAACAGAAGGTCAGAAAAGAAGAAGGCCCTCAAGATCAAGTTAATGACATGAGCATAAGTGTGCAGGAGAATAGTGGTCTTCAACTAAAAACAGAGGATGGTGGAGGTGAGAAGACACAAGGGAAATCCACCAAGACTAGTTTGGTAGATTCCCCCTCTGAAGATGTCACAAGCTCCAGCAAAACCTCCTCCAAGCCTCTCAAAGTCAGAATCAAGACTGTCAAAACGACGGCTGGAAACATCACACGTTCTGTATCTAAAGTGGCTCCTAAAGGAGGGACCTCCAAGGGTCCTGGTGGCTCTAAAGTTCAAGCAGGGGCCCGTAGGATTCAGAGGTCTGGTGATGCTCCTCAAGGGCGAGCTCAGGGTTCAAAGGAGATGATGTTGCCAGTGTCCACCCTTCAGGATGCCAGCACAGCTATGTTATTTGCAGCCAGCAAGGCACAGAATCAGATGGCCACCAGTCTTTCCACCACTGCAGTCAAGATCACCAGAACATCAACCCTCCCCTCCATCACCTCTTCACCCATGCCTGGGGTTCGCGGTTTGGGGCAGAAAACAATGAATGGGAATCCTGGGACTGCCAAAGCAGCCTCCATTGTGAACAGCCCGGGAGCTGTGATCTCACGCAGTCAGTCTAGCCTAGTTGAGGCCTTCAACAAAATCCTAAACAGTAAGAATCCACTGCCAAGTTATCAGCCAGACCTCTCCATCCCACCTCCCCCAGAATGGGGTCTTCGAGTGCCCTCAACGGGATACCGTTGCCTTGAATGCGGGGATGCGTTCGCACTGGAACGCAGCCTGGCGAGGCACTACGATCGGCGCTCTATGAGGATCGAGGTGACCTGTAACCACTGCTCCAAACGCCTGGCTTTCTTTAATAAGTGCAGCCTGCTGCTCCACGCACGAGAGCACAAGGAGAAGGGGCTGGTTATGCAGTGCTCACACCTCGTCATGAGTCCTGTCAGTGTGGAGCAGATGATTGGCCAGCAGGATACCGTGCATATAGGTTTGTGTCTTTATCAGTGTTAGTGTATTTATAGATGCAGTAGCAAAAAGAATACTTATAAGGCCTTTTCTCAAAAACTTTCAATATTTTTAGACATCATGAACTAACACGACTTGTGAGTAAGGGAGTAAATATTTTAATTTTACATTGTGCACATTTTGGATCAGGCGATGTCAAAATATGGTCCACGCGGGGATGATAGGGGGTCTGTGGACAATTTGAGAGGAACCAAAAAGGTTTTACAAAATGTATTTTAAATGTTGAATTAGGATCAATTAGATTAATTCAACACACTTTTTTTCATTTCATTTTTAAATTTTGCTTTCTAAAAACCTGTCAGAAAGTTGTTGTTTTTCAATACATTAGAAAGTGTCCTGTTAAATTAAATACATATTTTTTTGCACATATAAGAAATATCATACATTTTTACCATGATTTACAGAAAACAGCCACTAAAATGTCATTGTGTAACAATCTTGTCAGTGTATTTACCACAAGAATCAGTTTATGACATATTAAAAGAATACTAATTGTAATTTTACATTTTGAAACTTTGCCACTATACCATTTTGGCCATTTGTCAGCAAGAATTTTTTTACTCATTTAGGGTGTACTCACACTAGGCGTTTTGAACCGCGCCCGAGCACATCTGACCCCCAAAGCCCGGTTCGTTTGACTAGTGTGAGCGCTCCATGCCGCACTCGGGTGCGGTTCGTTTAGCCGGCCCTGGCCCGGTTGGAAGAGGTGGGCCAGGGCACGGTTCAGTTGGGCTCGGGCGCGGCACGCATGCAGTGTAGCGTTAACCGGGCCGGAGTGCGGAATAGATCCTATTTTGTGTGCACTACTGTCATCATTACGACCGCAAACATATTCTATTACTACTACTACACTACACTTTTCAATAAACTTAATTCAATCAAGTATATTTAGGTTTATAATGGCTCTGGTTCTTACCTTATTGATGAACAGCAAATGTAGTTTGCGAATAAAGCTGCAAATGATTTAATTAACGTCAGCTGCCTCCATAATAATTCTCTGATACATACAAGTGAAAATCAATGCACAACATAAATTATAAATTAATTATTAATTATTCGACAGAAAGTCGAATAATTAGCGAAAGTGGTTTTCTCCATTATCTCGCACATGACGTAAGCGTGCTCCGTCCCAGAAAGTTTAGTGCAAGTGTGAGTGCAGGCCAGCGGGGGAGTGGGGAGGGGGGATAATCGCGCTTTATAATGGCTCTGGTTCTTACCTTATTGATGAACAGGAAATGTAGTTTGCGAATAATGCTGCAAATGATTTAATTAACGTCAGCTGCCTCCATAATAATTCTCTGATACATACAAGTGAAAATCAATGCACAACATAAATTATAAATTAATTATTAATTATTCGACAGAAAGTCGAATAATTAGCGAAAGTGGTTTTCTCCATTATCTCGCACATGACGTAAGCGTGCTCCGTCCCAGAAAGTTTAGTGCAAGTGTGAGTGCAGGCCAGCGGGGGAGTGGGGAGGGGGGATAATCGCGCTCGGGCTCGGTTCAAGGCAACCGTGCTTAGTGTGAGTACACAATGCAATAAAATTTAGTATGCTCACTTATTCTTTTATATATTTGAATACGTACAGTTCAGAATAAATATGTTGTTTCAATTTTTACATAAATATAAGTGTTACACCGAATGACAATGGAACATTATTTCACCCACATTTTGACATTTTATTCTCCCCAAACTTATTTGAAACCTTAAAAGCAGACACTTTACTTGCATTTAATGGGCTTTTTATTTTTTGTAAATTAATTCAGTGTGAATGCACTAAATTGATCAAAATTGACATGAAAGACATTTATAATGTTACAATAGATTTCATTTTCAAATAAATGCTGTTCTTTTGAACTTTTTATAAATTAATCCTGAAAAAAGTCTGCAGTTTCAATATTGATAATGATAGTCAGCATATTAAAATGATTTCTGAAGAATGTTGTGACACTGAAGACTGGAGTAATGGTAAAAGGAATAAAGTGCTTTTTTAACATATTAAAATTGAAATCAGTTGTAATAATATTTCACAATAGTATAATATTTTTGATCAAATAAATGTAACCTTGGTGAGCATAAGAGACTGAAAAAATCATACTGACCCCAAACTTTTGAACATTAGTGTTTAAATTAAAATTGAAATCAGTTGTAATAATATTTCACAATAGTATAATATTTTTGATCAAACAAATGTAACCTTGGTGAGCATAAGAGACTGAAAAAATCATACTGACCCCAAACTTTTGAACATTAGTGTTTAATAGTCTGTATACCTACTTTTATATTTTAAGAAAGGAGTTCCTCACAAAGATATTATCATATTTTGGGGTCCTTGTTATTAAAGGGGTCATATGATGCTGCTAAAAAGAACATTATTTTGTGTATTTGGTGTAATGAAATGTGTTTATGCGGTTTAAGGTTCAAAAAACACATTATTTTCCACATACTGTACATTATTGTTTCTCCTCTATGCCCCACCTTTCTGAAACGTGTCAATTTTTACAAAGCTCATCGGTCTGAAAAGCGAGGTGTGCTCTGATTGGCCAGCTATCCAAGCGTGTGACGGAAATGTTACGCCCCTTAACATACTGTGATGGCCTGTCTGGCCGGAGCGACGAGACAAAAACATTAAAACCCATTATAAACGAAGCATTTGTTGCATCCAGTGGGGACATAATTACTGATTATAATGACTTAAACTGTATTTTTACGCGTTGCGTTGCATCGTGCTGCGTAAACATAAAACCATGTCTGCATTTGTGATCGGAGAAATGACAAACAACAAGCCCTACTCTACACTGCTCAAAACTCACGTTTGAATCATCAAATTCTATAAATATAAAAACCTACTTACAGTCTGTGAGTCAGAACAGCAGGCATTGTAGTCTACTCTCCCAGGATCGGGAAACATAAAATGTGCTGCACACATCTGAATATTTGGGTTGAACTGTTCTGGAACAGTGTTGTAAATACAACTTAACCACTGATTTCTAGTCGTCTCTTCTTTTGGAAGACCAAACAAAGTAGTTTCGCTTTCACAGCGTCACACACGGCGCAAATCTTCCCACATAGTGACATAGACATGTGGGCGTTAGAACGAGCCGTTTTAGGTAGGCGTGGTTGACTCTTAACTTTTATAAAGAATATCTCTTTGGATTTGAGACTTTAGTCTTTGCAACTTTACAGATCATCTTTATGCACCAAGAGCTTGTAACACTTCAAAGAGAAATAAATAATTTAAATCGCATCATATGACCCCTTTAAAACTTTTGGAAATCCTTGTCTGGATGAAATTTGATTCTTCATTTTAGTTTACTATTTTCTTTGTCTGAACAAATTACATTTATAAAACATTTCAGAAGTAAAAACAGACATGAAACTCATAGTTGTAGGTAACAGTAGCAGGTGTGCACACAGGGATCAGGGAGCAGTCACTGTCTCAATCCACAGGGGATCTGTGCACTGCAAAACAAAGGACTCAAGCATTTGATGCAGAATAATTCAGCTGGGGCTTGTTCTTTCTGCATGCCTTTTCAAAGAGCAGTCTCTGTGCTCAGTGCATTGCAAAAGTACTCTTTAGGGAGGTTTACAGTGTTGTAGATAATTGACCACAATTATCTAGATTAGTACATTTCATTAACCCATGTCCATTTCAGAATGATTTAGCTGATATGTAATATGTGCTTACAGTACAGTCTCTTTTACAGGTGTGCTTTCTCCAGCTGCCTCCGCTCTGTCTGCCATTAAAGAAAGTGGTGTCCATCTGTCACAATCTTCTGATAACAGGTAACAGCACACTGTCAGATCATGTTTATTTGGTTTTTATGTTTGAATGAATGAGAAATAAACAAAAATGAATGGAGACTGAGTGATTAAGATGCTGCCTGGTATGTTTGTGTACTCAATGTTCTCAGCTGTACTGAGTGTTGGAGTCCATTCAAAGGGAAGGCAGAAATAGTAGCACACTTTCAAGAGGTGGAGCCTGGTGGCACTGAAACGGTGAGTGAGTGCATGTGTAGGTGTCAGGACAATAACAGTGAGCATTTTCATTTTTTTTTTGGTGGTTTATTTGGGCCAGTAGTTTTGCAGTAGTTTAGACTTGCATTTGCCCTGCTAACACTTTTTATCAAAAATGTCCTACATGCATCAGAAAAATATATTAACATTTTTTCATTGCAGTTTTTAATTATTATTTAATATTATTTAACAATAAAATACATAATAAAATGAACAATATTATTATTACAAGTTGTTAATATTACCTAAAAATGAAAATTTGCTGAAAATATATTCACCCTCAGGCCATCCAAAACGTAGATGAGATTGTTTCTTCATTGAAACAGATTTAGAGAAATTTTTAATTTGCTTGCTCTACAAATAGATCCTCTGCAGTGAATGGGTGCCGTCAGAATGAGAGTCCAAACAGCTGATAAAAACATCACAATAATCTACACAACTCCAGTCTTTCGATTTATGTCTTGTGAAGTGAAAAGCTGTGTTTGCAATAAACAAACAAATCATTAAGATTTTTTAACTTCAAACGATTGCTTCCATTGAGTATTCTATCTATAATATTGCTTTCTCCAGTGAAAATGTTGTCTCGTCTGAATCGAGAGAAATATGCACAGATCAAGCACCATTTACAAGTGAAATCATCATAACAAATATGTTGGTGGATTTTGATGTGAGAGGACAATGGTTTAAAATTTTAAAAAGTCTTAATGATGGATTTGTTTATTACAAACACGCAGATTTTCACTTCACAAGATGTTAATTGGCAGACTGGAGTCGTGTGGATTATTGCATTGTTTTTATCAGCTGTTTGAGCTCTGAGGATCCATCGGTAAGCAAGTGATGTAATGCTCAGTTTTTCAATGAAGAAAGACACTCACATACATTTTGGCTGGCCTGAGGGTGAGGAAATTGCCAGCAAATTTTCACTTTTGTGTGAACTACTTAAATATGAATTAATACTATTACATTTTGATTTCTCTCTAGTGTTGTATGCAGTGTTCTCCTCCGATGCCGCTGTGGAACTCATGTAGTGCTGCGGCTCACCGGCGGCTACATCAGCAGCTCCCTCCACTGGTTTGCCCTGAATGTGGTGTCACCTGTCAGTTTCAGGACCTCAACACTCATCTGAATCAAACCTGCCTCCACTACTCACGGCGCCTTGGATATAGGTAACCACCTAGTCATACAGACTACTAATAAAACCCTTGTTTCATCTATTGTTTTTAAAGGGGTCCTATTATGCTTTTTCACTTTTTCAACTTTAGATAGTCTGTAATGTTGCTGTTTGAGCATAAAAAAAGATCTGCAAAGTTACAAAGTTCAAAGTCCACTTCAAAAGGAGATCTTTTATTTAACTTTTCAAAAACTACAACGAACGACTCGTTTGTACTGCAACGCATATTTTCTGTGATTTGTGATATCACAAATATCGACGAATGTGTACGAGACCTGGTTGAGCGGCACTAGAGAAGGCAACGAGTGTTATCATCACTATGTCGGAGACACGCTAGCTTTCCCAAGGCAGACGAACTTAGAGGAGTTACAATCATCTGGGTTTAAATTGCGCTCAAATAGCTTTGATTTTGACACAATATTTACACTGAAGCTAGCAGGCGGCTATGGTAAGGGGCATGACATTTCCCGACCAGGTGCCGAGTGGTGCCAATCACAACACGCACTGGCCCAGCTAACCAATCACAGCTCATTTCGTATTTCAGAAGGCGGGCCTTCATTTGATACAGGAACTATTCGAGCTGTTCATGCCAGACTGGGGAGAGAGGTGTTGTAATAATGTAAAATATGTGAAAAATAATGTGTTTTTCGAACAACCTAGTATGAAAGCCTGTTCTAGTATACCCCCAAAACAAAATCAAGACTTTGTAAAAGAGCATAATAGGACCCCTTTAAAAGAGCAATTTAATGCTCATTCTCTCTCATTTTCATTGCAGATGTGCTTGTTGTCATTTGGTGTTTGGTGGAGTGAATAGTTTGAATGCTGTAAAGACTCACATGCAGACGGCTCACTGTGAGGTCTTCCATAAATGCCCCTCCTGCCCCATGGCTTTTAAATCTTCCTCTAGTGCTGAAGCCCACTGTGCCTCCCTGCATCCTGAACTCCCTGAGACAGCAAGGCAGTCCAAGTAAGTTGGGGAAACTACCTTGAAAGTGAAGCTACAGGAAATTGCAGTTAAACTTGAATTGCAGTCAAGCAACCCTTTTAAAAACAGTTAGCCTTATTTGAATGTTTGCATTTTTTTTTGAGTTGCTAATAACTATTGTTTTTTATGACAGGGAGATCTATAAATGTGTGATGTGTCGGACGGTTTTTACTCAAAAAGCATTGCTCAGTGTCCATATTGACACTCACTTAGCCAAGCAGAAGATGCACGTCTTTAAATGTCCTGAATGTAACAAGCTATTCACGCAGAGAGGTTCCCTTCTTGAGCATGTTAAGGTTTGCTTTCTATTTAGTTCGACAAAAATAAGCTCTATTCATTGACATTATGAGTGTATGACCTCATTGTAATTTGTCTTTAGGACTCTCATAGGGACTCTAGCATTTATGACACATCAGCACAGAACAACTTGGTAAAAATGGAGAGCTCTGATGGGGAGGAGTGGGGACGGGATGAAGATGAGGACAGAGGAAGAATGGCGAGAGAGGATGGGAACGCTGCTCTCCAGAGTTGGAGCTGCTCACAGTGCCAGACGCACTACACAGACAAAGAGAACTACATCACCCACATGTCTGAGCAGCATGGCAAGGTCAGGACTTCATCAGGCAGAACTCAACAATAAGGAGATTATTTGCACTGACAAAATGTTTCAATACCCCTACCTAAAAAAAAAAAAAGAATATATTTGTCAGTATTTTATACACTATCAGTGTTTCCCACAGACTTACACACTATTTGTGGCGGGTGGCATATATACATTATGCAAATTAATTCTCTGCCAGGAGGTGGTTAAAGCAGGAGATTATCAGTTTACCTGGTAACGCTGTACACAAAGCAGCGCTCTACTCACAAGCGCTGCTTTATCAGACATTACATGCAAGATTAAATGAAAATGACATCCTAAATTTTCTGAAGACAGTGGTTTCCTTCAGAAATATAGTGATATAAAAACACCCGCACCAGGTTTCGGGTTTGAAACGTGCAGTGCTCATGTTGATTCAACAAAGTCAAAGCTTTTTGGAAAATCTGTTTGTGGCGGTCAGTTTTGATATTGTGGCAGGGGCCACAAATAAAACAATGTATGGGAAACACTGCACTACTATTCAATAGATTTAAAAAAATAATAATTTTATTCAGCAAGGATGCATTAAATTGATGGAACAGTAAAGATAGTGACAGTAAGCGCCACAAATAAATCAATGTATGGGAAACACTGCACTACTATTCAATAGATTTAAAAAAATAATAATTTTATTCAGCAAGGATGCATTAAATTGATGGAACAGTAAAGATAGTGACAGTAAAGACATTTGTAATGTTATAATAAATAAAAAAAAAATGCTGTTCTTTTGAACTTTTTAGGCATCAAAGGATCCTGAAAAAATGTATCACTGTTTTCACAAAAATATTAAGCAGCACAACTCTTTTCAACTTTGAGACTAACAAAAACAATTCTTGAACACCAAATCAAGATATTAGAATGATTTTGGAATTAGTTTTTTCTTTGTTAAATTGGAATGGTTTCCAATTTGTCCTGAACCAACAAACCTAAACTAACAATGTTTCATCATGATTTTTTATTTTTTTTGGAAGGAACTGAAGAAGTTTCCATGCACTCTTTGTGAAGGGTCCTTCTCTTCATCGTCAAGTTTAAGACGCCACATTCGTGTCAAGCACAAAGGCATCAAAAGAGCGTTTTATTGCCAGTGAGTAAAAAATATTCAGCAGCATATTTTCTTTTATAACTTTTTTTGTTTGTCTTATTTTCAAAGGCATTTACTGTCATTTCTTGTTATGAAGACTCTGTACAGGTGGGAAGAGGAGTTTCAGCAGTAAGCTGATTCTTGAGAAACATATTCAGGCTCAGCATGGAGGAGACAGAGGAGCAGCCACACAGAGTCAGGTAAGAGCTCAAATACACTCTAAGATGAACAAAACACGTCCAAAGCCATGATCACCTGACAGTGATTTTTGTTGCTTAAGTTCATCGTAACATTCAGCTTTTGAAATTCACCTCGTTTCTTCACTGATCATGTATGTGACCCTGGACCAGTCATAATTGAGATTTATACATCATCTGAAAGCTGAATAAATAAGCTTTCCATTGATGTATGGTTTGTTAGGATAGGACAATATTTAGACAATATTTGGCAGAGATACAACAAATTTGAAAATCTGGAATCTGAGGGTGCAAAAAAATCAAAATATTGAGAAAATCGCCTTTAAAGTTGTCCAAATGAAGTTAGCAATTCATATTACTAATCAAGAATTAAGTTTTGATATATTTATGGTAGGAAATTTACAAAATATCTTCATGGAACATGATCTTTACTTAATATCCTAATGATTTTTGGCATAAAAGAAAAGTCGATAATTTTGACCCATACAATGTATTGTTGGCTATTGCTACAAATATACCTGTGCTACTTATGACTGCTTTTTGGTCCAGGGTCACATATATATATATATATATATATAGAGAGAGAGAGAGAGAGAGAGAAAGAGAACGCTTTGTACATACCGATACCGGGCTGCACAATAAATCGCATGCGATATTTAATGCGCATCTTGTCAGAAAGCCGGTTCTGTAATCAGCGGTGCCGGCTTTACTGATAAGATGTGCGTTAAATATCGCATGCGATTTATCGTGCAGCCCTAGCTTCAAAGCAGCTTCACAATAATAAACAAGAAAATAACAGAAGCAATGTTGCAAACTTCATAAATTGAGAAAACAATAGTGTCATTGTTCAGCTCCAGTTAGTTCAGTTTAGTTTGTAAATTATGAAATTTAGTGACAAGCAGCTCTTCAGAAGCTTGAAGTCAGTTCAGTGTTGATTCAGTTCTCTCAAAATGAATCAATTATGAAACAAATTCAAATTTCTCAAACATAAAGTCAAACTTTTTACAACTTTATCAAGTAACTGGACACAATTTAACTAGAGTAAAGCTCATTGAAAGTGAACGACTTCCTGTAGTTTTGGCACAGTAAGTCACTTTCAGTGTGTCTCTCTCACTTTCAGGCAGTTCCTCGTATCACAGATGCAGCTGACAGCTCGTCTGAGCATGATGGTGGTCCTGGCACTTTGGGCGGGGCCTCAGTTGAAGCAGAAAGCCAATTGGCCGAGAGCAGCCTGACCAGGCCTGGCAGAGGAGCTGCAGCTGAGGAGCAGGAAACCGCAGGATTCCGCTGCATGCCGTGTGGTTTTACCACAGAGCACAGAGAAGAGTTTCTCCAGCATATTGTTTGTCACCGTGACGGGGGCAGCAGCTTTCAGTGTCAGCAGTGCGGTGCGTGTTTCGCATCCTCCTCCTCTCTCAGCAGGCATCTCTTCATCAGCCATCGCGTGCGTGATTCCCGCTCCGAGCGCGCCGAGGTGTCTCCTGTCACTGGTTCAAATTCTGTGACCTCTGACTCCGCAGTTGCAGCAGGGTCCCCAGGGTCACCCTCGAGTGTAGGGGGGACACAGGCGGAGGATGGGGAAGGTAAGCACACCTGTAAGGTGTGTGGACGTTACTTTAGCAAACCTGCTGATCTTAATACACACTTCAGAACTCACGGCATGGCCTTCATCACCGCATACAAAACAGACAAACCAGCGTAGAGACAGGAAAGGGTGAGACTCATGAAACCTGTCAAGAACATGTCACCCCAAAATCAACAACAAAAAACAAGAAATTATGTTTTCCTTAAAGAAAATTAAGCATAATTGAAGTGATATTTATTTTACTTTGTGACTTTTCGATTTTAATTAAGCACACCAATTCTCATTACTGTAATGCTTAAAATGTATGTAAAAAACATTTGTAATTTATTTATATAATTTATAGCCCTTTATGCCGATTTAAATAAAAAAACTACAGCATCACAGATAATAAATTAACCAATAACAAATTACTGTATTACGTGAATGAATATCTAATTACAGAAAATCTCAAAAGTAAAATGTTAAGATTAAGATAGACCGTTTTCATGAGAAAATGTACTTAATTGTAATGTTTAATTTCATTCAGGTAGATTTCAATTTCTTAATGCAAAATATAATTTCTTGTATTTATTTTTGGGGTGTTTCTGTAAGATTCAGCATAAGGCGTGTATGTAATTGAAAGTCTGCAAATTATAAACATTTGGGGTTGTCACAGGCTTTTAACACTCCACATTCTCACCTAAAAACTAGAGAAATACACTGCATCAGGGCAATCCATGTTTGTAATAACATGTAGTAACTCTGCTAGACAAGTTTCGTAAAAACACAGAAGAGGAGACAAGTAATACTATAGAGGAATGATTAGGTTTGATCAACCTAAAAAGTGATTGCTACTAGCTCTTAATTGATCTGAGAGGTTGAGAGACACTGAGCATCATATTGAGAGTGTCATACACACATTTACCAGCCCTGCTAAATTCCTGTGCCTACTGATTCCATTGTACAACAGTCCGTTTTCTCTAATGCAAAATGCAGCTGCTTATATAGATATAATACTGTAATTACTAATAGTTTAGCACAGCCAAATGCTCCCAAATCAGGTCACTCCTTTGTGCTTGAATTATTTTTATGTTTAATGTTTGTATTTCTTCTATTTGTGTTTCCACAGAGGCATTAAAATCAGGAAACTTGCTGAATAGTTGCTGATCTTTAGAATGAGAACAAAAAAAGTGCCTTCTTCATTTAGTCTAAGGTTAAGATTACTGTTAAAGTTTGATTAATTTGATTAAAGTAAGCAGATGATTTGAAAGAGTTGAGTTATTTTGATGTTTGCGCTGGAATTATGTTTTATTGGTGCCTTACATATCTTGTCTACTGGTTTTCTTTTTAAAGATGATTAGTATAGATTTGTTTTACTGTAACCTCCTGAATTTTTCTGGCTGTTTCATATGGATTGTGTTGAGATAAATAAAAAACTGTAATGGCTAAATCACTACTCTATGCCTTGTTATAGTCTACTGTATATACTCATTTGATAAACCTATCAAAAATAAAAATGTTTTTTCAAGTTCAGTCCTGTAAAACTTAAAATGTTGCTATTGTAGTTTTTACAGTAAAGTTCTGGCAACTACATCTTTTTTTATACCAAGTATTTCTTTTTTTTTCCTACGGTGTACTATTTATATTTTAAAATAATTATTTTCTATTTTAATATATTTAAAAAATGTCAGCAGCCATCTTCAGTGTCACATGATCGTTCAGAAATCATTCTAATGTGCTTATATATATATTTTTTATTATCAGTGTTGAAAATGGTTGTGCTGCTTAATATTTTAGTGGAAACCATGGTGCATTTTTTTCAGGATTCTTTGATCAATAGTTCTTAAAGCACAGCATTTATTTGAAATGGAAACGTTTTAGAGCAATGTCTTTACTGTCACTTTTGATCAAATTAATATGTCCTTGCTGAGTAAAAGTATACATTTCTTTGAAAACAAAATCTTATTGGCTTCAATGATAATGTATATTGCATATCTTGATATTTGCAAGGCATTTGGGAGTTTGAGTGACCAGATGCGTTTCATTTAGCTTAAACTCTTTGATGATAAATGAGGTATAATAGCTATTTTGAATAATTTACATAACCCCTTTACAATAATTTACATAACTCCTTCATGTGACAACAGCAGACAAAGACAAGGTAGATGGCTTGTGCACCTGACGAAAGGTTGGCATGAACTTCGGGTCATCAGAAGCTATGGTTCGCTTCTACACCACATGAGGGTGTGAAAGTGTCACCTTTGACTTCAAATCTCACACTTACTCTCTGTACAGACAGATCTTTATTAACCCTTATGTTTGGGTATAAATGATTTGAAATAGAACACAACCTCTAACTAATACAAACATTTAACTGCAATTAAATAACTGATAATAAAACTACATCTTAGATACACTTTAATGAAGTATACACAGTGTTTACTGTCTCTCATAGAATAATAATAGATGTCCATTTGAAAATACCTAAATAGCAGTATTATCAAATATAGTTTCTCTCTAAAATACATTTAATAAGTTAAAGATGGGCTAGACCCAAATTTTATCAAACCACCATCTCACCATCTTGTACTATCTTTGGTTATGGTCTAAGCGCAAAGTTTAAATGTGCAATCAGTGACTTGTTGAAGTTTCGAAACAAAGCAATTATAACGTTTCTTAAATCTACTGGTTTGCTGGTTGATCATACACATGGCATCCTATGGCCTTTGACTCTTCTGCTCCTTAGAGAATGTATCCAAACAACAGCAGTGCAATGGCCTGCATGAGGAGGACACATCCTGCCATGCTCTCTACAGCTGCACCTGGAGTACGAAGAGAAACATATTTGTAAATTTGTTTTATAATTATTTTTTTACGAATAAAAGATCCATTCAAATGTAATGGTCATTATTTAGTAGAATTTAAAAAATAATAATAATTCTGGGTCACATTGAGATTATTAAAGGGGTGGTTGATTGCGATTTCACTTTTTTTAAAGGTGAGTGTGTAATGTTACTGTTTGATCATAAACAATATCTGCAAAGTTACGAAGCTGAAAGTTCAATGCAAACGGAGATATCGTCTTTTAAAATTCTGGCAGTTTAATGCCTACAAAAACGGCTGGTAGGGACTACAACAAGTTACTTCCCGGGGTCGTGACGTAACAAACCTAGATAAACCCCGCCCTCGGGAAAAGGCAGCAAAGGGGGCGAGGCCATGCTGCGCTGCTTTAGAGAAGAGAAAGAGAAAACTAGAGGTGCACGTAAAAATCTATTCATGTATGAATCGCGATTCTGTCTTAACGATTCTAATGGATTCACAAGTTTCAAAATCAATGTTCTAAAGTAGCAGTTCTTAATACTGTTCCTCGCGTCCGCTGCTCTACACACGCTCTGCATCTCTCTCTCTCTCTCTCTCTCTCTCTCTCTCTCACTCATTCAGCTCAGCTCCAACAATGAACTGTTCCAATTATACACTTATTTTCACATAGCTATGAGAAGCCTTAAACATGGATGTGCGTGCAGTTGCCGTATTGTATTAAAGCTTTAATCAGGATAAAACCGTATATTAAAAGCTAACATAAGCAGTAGCATTTACAAATAACAGCGTATCTAAAAGTATGAGACAACAACAAATAAAAAACATAGGCCTACCATTAAAAGCCTTGCTTGCACAGGTTCTGCAAGATCCTCTTCAATAATATCCTCTGCTTCTCAGTCGGGCTCAAACTGATAAGCGATATTAACGACGCCATTGTTTACAATACAACCGGAGCACATGCCGCTGAGGTGAGGGGCGGGGCGCTTAGATGTGCACTAGAGGCGGTTTAGCCAATCACAACACACTGGCTAGCTAACCAATCAGAGCCCATCACCTATTTCTGAGGACGGGGCTTCATAAAAGCGGGAAATGATCAGCGTATTTCTCAGAGAAGGGACAGAGTGGTGTGGAATAAAGGTAAATTATGTGGGGAAAACACATGGGCATTAACACATGTTAGACTGCACCCCATCAACACAATCAAGCCCAGAAAAAAAACAATTTAACCACCCCTTTAAGAATAATTTGTGGATGACTATCACCAAACAGGTTTCCTGACCCTTTTCCTGTCACTTACCTCCTTTTAGTGGCAGTGGGGCTGATCCACCAGAGCTTGGACTGGAGATTCCAGTGGAGATTCCAGTGGAGTTTCCAGTGGAGTTTCCAGTGGGCACTTCAGTACGTGCAGTTTTCAGTCCCACAGCTTCATCCAGTGCAGCCTTTTGATCGACCCTCAGCCCTGAACGCTGAGCCTCTGTTACTGCGGCAGCATTGTCAGGACCCAAAGCCTTCAACTGGCTGACCGACAGTGCCTGATCACAAATGACAAGAGTCACTTTTTCTTTTCTTACAGAGCAACTCAATTAAAGGGATACTTCACCCAAAATTCTCTCATCATTAACTTACCCTCCTCAATCAATCTCTGGGTTCATATAATGCAAGTGTATGGTACCTCCAAAGTTGACACTTTAAAAACCACACAAAGCAAACATGACGGTAAACCATATTGACTCTAGTTGATGAATCAATACAGTTGAGGTCAAAAGTTTACATTCCCCTTTCAGAATCTGCAAAATGTTAATTATTTTACCAAAATAAGAGGGATCATACAAAATGCATGTTATTGTTTATTTAGTACTGACCTGAATAAGATATTTCACATAAAAGATGTTTACATATAGTCCACAAGAGAAAATAATAGTTGAATTTATAAAAATGACCCCGTTCAAACTGTTAATACTGTGTTCTTAAGAATTACAGAAGGTTCAAACTGATGCCCCAGAAGGAAAAACCATGCATTAAGCCGGGGGTGAAAACTTTGGAGATGTGTAAATTTTTGTTATTTTGCCTAAATATCATATTTTTTAAATTTAGTACTGCCCTTCAGAGGCTTCAGAAGATACTTACATGTTTCCCAGAAGACAAAATAAGTTAAATTTACCCTGATCTTCAAATTCAAAAAGATTTCACCCCCCGGCTGTTAATGCATAATTTTCCTTCTGGAGCATCAGTAAGCGTCTGAACCTCTGTAATAGTTGCATATGAGTCCCTCAGTTGTCCTCAGTGTGAAAAGATGGATCTCAAAATCATACAGTCATTATTGGAAAGGGTTCAAATACACAAAAATGCTGGAAAGCCAAAGAATTTGTGGGTCCTGAAGGATTTTTCTGTAGAACAGCAGGCAGTTGAACTGTTCAGGACAAACAAGGGACTCGTGAACAACTATCACTAAACAATACCTGGATCATTCAGGTATCAACATAGTATTAAGAATCAAGGGGATGTAAACTTTTGACCGGGGTCATCACAGCTATTATTTTATCTTGTGGACTGTAAATGAAACAGTGGGTGTGTGTGAGAGAAAAATACCAATAATTTTAACTTTTGACACTATAAACCATTGCATCTGGCCAACTTTCAGAATTTGTGAAACTTGTGTGAGAAGTGAAGGTCCTCTGTGCTTCCAAATCACTTATATCATGTTTTTTTTCTCACAATTGTTTCACTTCAGAAGACATTGATTCATCAACTGGGATTGTATAGATTACTGTTGTGTTCGTTTTTTCACGATTTTTGAATCATCAACTTTGAGAGAGTCATCCATTTGCATTATGTGGACTCAACAGAGATACATTGTTTTTCTAAAAGTCATCTACGACGGCACGAGGGTGTTAATGCTGAAAGAATTTTCTTTTTTTGGGTGAAGAATCCCTTTAAGAAGTAGCCAAATATAAAATACGCAGCAAGAAATAAAACATGAAAGTCTGCAAACAAGAGATTAAACTTACAGCTAAGCGATCCGAGGATATGAGAGGGATGGCGGATGGCTGAATGAATGGCAGGACGGTTGAATTTAGACTTCCCAGCTCGACAGCACTTAAACCAGCTAGAAAAACATGGAATGACAAAGGCAGCTCTCACATTTTAAGCTTGAACTAGTCACGTGTAAATATTCAGGTTTATCACTTGGTGTCCTTTGTAACTCACCAATAATGTTGCCCATAATGCTGACTTGAGCTTCAGTCCAGGTGTGTGATTTTCCAAATGCAGCCACTGCCTTTTCTTTTAGATGCTCTCTAATGTTCAGAGGACAAGGAGCACGGCCCACCGCCTCTACTGACTCCCTGAGAAGCACACACATCACAGGAAATCACAATGACCAGGTCTGTACACAGCAGTTTTGTTGTGCTGTAGGGTAAACAAATATACTTAAAATTGAGAATATAGCCATGAATGTGGAAGTGTTTCTAACCTGAAGCTGAGGGGATTGAGCTGATTGATCTGGCCAGGTTGTAGACCACAGATAAACTGTCCCAGACCCACCATCTCCAGCTGTCCTAATCTAGACACGTTGATTCCAGCCACCCCTTCAAAGGCCTGCCAGACTGCTGTCCTCTGCAGAATTCATCATTTTCATTTGTTTTTGTATATTTTTAATACA